AGCCGGGCGTGGTAGCACGCACCTGTAGTTCCAGCTACTTGGAAGGCTGAGGCGGAAGGATCGCCGGAGCCCAGCAGGTCGAGGCTGTGGTGGCCAGGAGCGTGCCACTGCCCTCCAGCCTGGGTGACAGAATGAGACTCCTACTCAAAATAAACAAACAAATAAATAAATAAGAGAGATGGCCTCCACAGATACAAACCAAGCCTGTTTATCAGCAGACAGAATAAAAAAGAATAGTCCATTGTTTCAGCTTTTTAAAAAATGTTTTTATTTTTTAATTTTAATAGCTTTAGAGCACAAGTGGTTTAGTCACATGGTGAACAGCATCTCGGTAAAGTCTGGGCTTTCCGTGTACCCATCGCTCAACTAGTGCCCAGTGCACCCAACAGGTGATTTTTTATCCCTCACCCTCTCCCACCCTTCCCCTTCTGAGTATCTGATGTCCGTGAGACCATTCTCTAGGCTTAGAGAACTCTGAGCTTAGCCCCCACTTACACACGCGAGCATGCGGTGATGGCTTGCCATTCCTGCGTTACCTCGCTTAAGATGAAGGTCTCCAGTTCCATTCAAGTTACTGAAAAAGACATTATCTCATTCTTTTTTTTTTTTAATTGGAATCTCACACCGCTGCCCAGCTGGAGTGCAGTGGCCATTCCCGGCCACCGCAGCCTCGACCTGCTGGGCTCCAGCGATCCTTCCGCCTCAGCCTTCCAAGTAGCTGGAACTACAGGCGCGCTACCATGCCTGGCTATTTTTTAAATTATTATTTATTGTAGAGATGAGGTCTCGCCAAGTTGCCCAGGCAGGTCTTGAACCCGCAGCCTCAGGCAATCCCAAAGCGCAGGATTACAGGCTAAGCCACCGAGCCCGGTTTATCTCATTCTTTTTGTGGCTGAATAGTACTCCATGGTGCACATTTTCATTATCCATTCACAGCTGATGAGCAGTTCGATTCCACATCTTTGCAAGTGTGAGTCGTGCTGTGGTTAACATGCAACGCAGGTGTCTTCTCTGTACAATGATTTGTTTTCCTTTGGGCAGATCCCCAGTCGTGGGATTGCTGGACTGAATGGTAGTTCTACTTTTAGTTCTTTGGGAAATCTCCACGCTGTTTTCCATAAGGTTGTACTAATTCACATTTCCACCAACAGCGTACGAGCGTTCCCTTTTCACTGCATCTGCGCCATCTATTGTTTTTTGAATATTGTTTTTTGAACTTTCTAATAATAGTCAGAGAATACTCCATTTATGATAGCCAAAATTAGAAATTACCACTAGGCTCGGTGGCTCAGCCTGTAATCCCAGCAGCACTTTGGGAGGCCAAAGCAAGTGGATTGCCTGAGCCCGCGGGTTCGAGACCCGCCCAGGCAACCTGGTGAGACCTCATCTCTACAATAAATAAAAAATTAGCCGAGTGTGGTAACATGTACCTGGAGTTCCAGCTACTTGGAAGGCTGAGGCAGAAGGATCGCTGGAGCCCAGCAGGTCAAGGCTACGGTAGCTGGGAGCGGCCACCACACTCCAGTCTGGGCGACGGAGTGAGACTCCAACTCAAAAACAAAGAAAGAAAAGAAAGTACCCCCAGCTAAAAATGGAAAAAAAGTCTTTCTATGGCTCCCAGTCCTCAGAGGCCAACATGCAAGTGCAGGTTGTATCACACCTCCTCAGGCAGCCCTCCTGTGCTCCCCAGCCCAGGTCAGTGTCTCCTGTGAGCTCTCACAGCTGTGTGGGCACAAGCCTGTCTCAATGTGCCTTCAACGACCTGTCACAGGTCTCCCTCCAAGATCAGGACCCTCAGTGCCCCAAAACCAGCACCACCCAGGCACAGAGCTCAGTTCAACAACCATGTGCAGAGCCGTCTTTCTCTTCTCTCAGAGGACCCAGCCAAGGGCTCTGCAGGATCCCCCATTGTTAGCGTGTAATGTGAAGCTCAGTATTTCTTTATTCCAGAACTGTCTGAATTCGTTCCTAAATCAAGTTAGAAAACCCTGAGTTACGGCCAAGCATGGTGGTTCCTGCCTGTAATTCCAACACACTGGGAGGCCAAAGCAAGAAGATCGATTGAGCCCTGGAGTTCAAGACCAGCCTAAGCAACATAGCAAAATAAAAAAATAATAAATTAAAGAAAACCCTAAGTCTGCAAAATAAAAAAATAATAAATTAAAGAAAACCCTAAGTCACCTGCTGGAGGGGTTTAAAGTGGAACAGTCTTGGCGGAGGGTTATCTGGCAACACTTAGCCAAATTGCCAGTGCCTACCCCTGCAACTCAGAATGTCCAATTTTAGAAATTCAGCCCACAAAGATCAGGCTCAACCGTGTGAGAGAGCTGCTTCTGTAGGCTAAAACAGGCTGGCTATCAGCAATTTCACACAATGCCAGCCAATATATGCAAGCATGTGTGCAAAACAAAAAATGCACAAAGACATGCACTTGCAGCAGCATTTTTCACAGCCAGGGAACGGAGTGCCTCAATGTCACAGATAGCCACAAACAGGAGTGGCAAAGTGTGTATGCAGTTATGTATGCTGGCAAGTATAGAGCTATAAAAAAGAATGGAGAAATCCTCAATGCACTAGTGTAGAAAGACGTGCCAAGCTACATGACTAAGAGGACTAAAGCAGATTGCAGAACAGTTTGTGTAGCATCCTTCCTTTTGTATTAAAAGTGGGAGGACAGACAAGGTGGCTCAAGCCTGTCATTCCAGCACTTTGGGAGGCTGAGGTGAGGGGAATGCCTGAGCCCAGGGGTTTGAGGTCAGCCTGGGCAACTTGGTGAGACCTCATCTCTACAAACACTCAAAAAAATTTTTAAAAATTAGTCGGGCGTGGTACAGTGCACCTGTACTTCTAGCCACTTGGAAGGCTGAGGTAGAAGGATTGCCAGAGCCCGACGGGTCGACGCTGGAGTGGCCATGAGCATGCCACTGCACTCCAGCGTGGGCGACGGAGTGAGACTCCAACTCAAAAAAAAAAAAAGTGAGAGGAAAGTAGAAATATAAATATAAGCTAGGCATAGCAGCCCATGCTTGTAATCCCAGCATTTTGGGAGACTGAGGCAGAAGTTCAAGACCAACCTGAGCAACATAGTGAGACTCCATCTCTACAAAAAAAAAAAAAAATTGAAAAATTATTTGGGTGTAGTGGTGCATGCATGGAGTCCCAGCTACTCTGGAGGCTGAGTAGAGAGGATCATTTGAGCCCAGGAGTTTGAGGCTGCAGTGAGGTGAGACTGCACTACTGCACCCCCAGGCTGGGCAACAAAGTGAGATCCCAATTCCAAAAAAAAATAGAGTATATGTATATACTTACAAATATAAAATGTAAGTGCATATGTGCATGTGGATACATATGTATATGTGTATAATACAGATTTATAATTGTATATACATTCACATATGTCTATGTACACACACATTTGCTTTTTTATCCATAATATAACTCAAGAAGGATACACAAGAAGCTGGCACTAAGTAGGTGCTCCCAGAAAAGAGAACAAGGTAGAGGGAGTCTCTTCACCTATGCCTTTCGTGCCAAGTCAGTGGATTAACCAGCCAAATATAAAAAGAGATTCAAACAGCAAGGCGTGGTGGTTCACGCATGGAATCCCAGTGCTTTGGGAGGCTAAGGTGTGAGAAGGCCAGTTATTCAGGAGGCTGAGGTGGGAAGACTGTTTGAGCCCAAGAGTTTGAGGTGCAGGAAGTGATGACCGCATCACCTGCACTCCAGTCTCTAAAACAATACAGATGAATAAATCAGTCCAAACAAAGAACAGAAAGGAAGCCAAGCCTTCCCCGGCAGCGTGCCGGTACTCACCAGGGCGCGTAAGAGGCCGCTATGAAGAAATAGATGACCATCCGGTCGAACATGTGCAGACAGTGCTCCACCATCCTAGGGCAGCAGAAAAGCCAGCGGTCACGGCCCGGGGCAGCGGGGAGGGGCTGCACACCCAGAGCCGGGTCCCGGGACAAACGTGCCTTCCTACAGACAGGGAGGGGGCCAAGCTTAGAGCCGACGTGTCTCTCCAGCCAGGACCCCGTGAGCCCCCCAGAATCCCCATCTGCAAGTGACCAGGGCAGCTGTTTTCCAACCAGGCTCCTTTTCACACTAGGGACAGTGTGGCGATGCCTCGGGGGTCCCACGGGGGGCCTGGCACCCCCTGAAGGTGCAGATCTGGCAGCGCCTCCTCTACTTAAATCAGAGCACCTCTGCATTTCTGTTTTATATCCTGGGCTTCTCCAAGATTTTTCTTTTTTTTTGAGTTGGCATCTCACTCTGTCGCCCAGTCTGGAGTGAACGCAATGGCACACTCACAGTCACCCCAGCATCGACCTTCTGGATGATCCTTCCACCTCAGCCTTCCAAGTAGCTGGAACTACAGGTGGGCGCTACCATGCCCGGCTAATTTTTGATTTATTGTAGAGATGAGGTCTCGCCAAGTTGCCCGGGCAGCTCTCGAACCCACGGACTCAGGCAATCCACTCACCTCAGCCTCCCAAAGTGCTGGGATCACAGGTTGAGCCACCGAGTCTGGCCTTTTCCAAAATTTCAAATGAAGAATGAATTCTGTGGCTTTAAAATGTGTGAAAGGTCCTAAACTCTGTGCCCCTGGAGGCTGTCTGGGTTTTGACAGTCTATGTTCGAAGAACTTAGTAGTTCGTGTCCAGGTTCTGGAGCCAGAAGGCCTGGGTTCAAATCCCAGCTCTACGCCTGGAGACTATGTAAGCTGGAACAAGTTACTTACTTCTCTAAGTCTCAGCTTCCTCTGTAACATAGGGGTGATATAGCAACTTGAGCACCCACCAGGACAAGGATTAGAGTCAGTACTTAGCAAGAAAAAAAAAGTGCTCAACAAACGTAGGCTGTTTTCACAATGGCCTCACTGGACAAGGAAGCAGTGGCCCTCAATACATGTGACCAGCATGGCATCAGCCCCTGCAATGGCACCCAATGAGTATTCACACCCTGGGACACTCCCAGCCCGCAATACATAGGGAAAGCTCAGGGAACCAATAGGGTCTTGCAGAAGTGATGGTGTGTGGTTTCTGAGGTTAGACCATCAGAGAGACTGGCTGTGGTGGTAGAGAACCCCATGAGAATAAGAACTGGGCATCCCCCAAACACCCAGCAGCAGCTCGCCAGCCCTGGGAAGAGGTGGACCCTTCAGCCCCACTCAAGCCTTCAGCTGAAGGCAGCCCCAGTCAACATCTGATGACAGAAGAGACCCCGTGGAGGACAAAGCAGCTCCACCTTGACCGTTAATCCGCCATGTTGACTTCAGATCAGCCCCAGTTCTGGGAAGGCCTTTAACATTTCCAGTAGGCCGGGCTCGGTGGCTCAGCCTGTCATTCCAGCACTTCGGGAGGCCGAGGCGAGTGGATTGCCTGAGCCCGCGGGTTCGAGATCCGCCTGGGCAACTTGGCGAGACCTTGTCTCTACAATAAATCAAAAATTAGCCAGGCGTGGTGGCATGCGCCTGTAGTTCTGGCTACTTGGAAAGCTGAGGCGGAAAGATCGCCGGAGCCCAGCAGATCGACGCTGGGGTGGCCATGAGTGTGCCACTGCACTCCAGCCTGGGCAACAAAGTGAGACACCAACTCAAAAAAAAAAAGAAAACAACACAACACCAGTTGATCTGTTGTTCCTTGTGTAAGAGCAGGTACTTACCACAAATCCTGCCCTTAACACAGCCTTGATGTTATTGTATTTCAGTGGTCCCTCATATCCCTTCGGAATCCCTCCTTCCTTATGGTATATAAGCCCAGGATCTGGAGGATAATGGCGCCAGGATTTCCATCTTGTCTTGCCACCATAGACATGGCTTCTGTCTGTATGTCCCTATTAAATGTTACTTTCTAAGAAACTGGATATGTCAGCCTTTTTCTTCAGCCTCTGAGCCTCCTTGGTCTTCTGGGGAGTAGGTTTGCCTAGACCGGCCCCCCACAAAACAGACCCCGAGCCAGAGCCACACAGCTGAGCTCCTCAATTTCTGGCCCCCTGAGGCCTTAAGGGATGATAAATGTTTATAGTAAGCTACTATGCTCTAGGGTGCTTTGTTACGCAGCAATTGGTAACGTATTAATACAAACTGTGACCGTCTGGCAAACGACAGCCCTGAGCCCATTTGACCAATGATTCTGTGCTGTCCAGCTGCATGTCTTTAGAAACTAAAACAGTAACAGCAACTAACACGTACAGAGCACTTACTATAATCAGAGCACTGTTCAAAGCTCCTATGTCCCTGAACTCTTTAACCCAACCTATAAAGTGAGAGCCATTCTCTTCATCCACATATCACAGAGGCGGACGCTAAAGGTCATCACAGTCACACGCTCGTTAGCGGGCCCTAAAGCCAGCCACTAGTGCCTTTAAGGGAAAAGAAAGGGATATTTGGACACAGAAGCACACAGAGGCCACAGGAAGACAGAGGCAGAGACTGGAGTGACACAGCCACAAACCAAGGATGGCAGGAGCCACGGGAAGCTGGAAGAGGCAGGAAGACCCTCCTCTAGGACCCTCGGAGGGAGCACAGCCTTGGCCATCCCTTGACTTCAGTCTCCTGGTCTCCGGAACGGTCGGGAAGTTTGTGCTGAGCCGCCCGGTTGGTGGCAATTTGTTGTGGCAGCCCCAGGATCTCATACTGTGGGGCTCAGAAAAGGCCAGAAGGGGGGAGAATGAGGGGCAGAAAGGGGGTGGCACATACAGCTCTGTGGGAGACCTGGGATCCCAGAACTGGCTCCAGCTGGACACGGCAGCCATGCAGCCTTAAGCAAGGCTGAGCCTCGGTCTCAACACTGATGAGGTTCTACACGCTGCACTGCAAATGAGCCTTGAGGACACTGTGCCTAGTGAAATAAGCAGCCACAAACGGGACTGCACGAATGTACTCATCTGAGGTCCCTAGAGGAGTCGCATCCATAGAGACAGAAAGGAGAATGGCGGCTGCCAGGGTGGGGGAAGGGCCGGGGAGTGAGCGCTTAGCAGCGACAGAGCTTCAGTTTGGGAAGATGACGGTAGTGATGGCCGCACAAGCCTGTGAATGGGAGGAGGTCCCTGAGCTTAAAAACTTAAACACAGTAGTCAGGCGTAGTAGCACGCGCCTGTAGTTCTGGCTACTTAGAAGATGGGGTCGGGCTCGGTGGCTCAGCCTGTCATCCCAGCACTTTGGGAGACCGAAGCGAGTGGACTGCCTGAGCCCGTGGGTTCGAGACCCGCCTGGGCAACTTGGTGAGACCTCGTCGCCCTCATCTCTACAATAAATCAAAAATTAGCCGGGCGTGGTAGCGCACGCCTGTAGTTCCGGCTACTTGGAAGGCTGAGGCGGGAGGATTGCCGGAGCCCAGCCGGTCGAGGCTGCGGTGGCCGGGAACGTGCCACTGCACCCCAGCCTGGGCGATGGAGTAAGATTCCAACTCAAAAAAAAAAAAAAAACTTAAACACAGATAAGATGCTGAATTTTACGTTGTGTTTATTTTACCATAATTTTAAAAATAAATTAAACTGTTAAAAAAAAATCAGGGATTCTTGCTCTACCAAAAAGACACCCACACACGCATGTTTACTGTAGCACTATTCACCACAGCAAAATCATGGAACCAACCCAGATGCCCTCCGAAAGTGGGCTGGATACAGAAAACGTGGAACACAATGGCATACGACACAGTCACAAAGAAGAACAAAATCACGGCCTCTACAGCAACTTGAACGCAGCTGGAGACCATCAGACTGAGTGAACTACCAAAGAAACAAAGAAATCCTGCACGCTGTCACTCATAAGCGGGCCAATCACCGGTTACACGGGCACAAGGATGGGATCAGCAGACATTGGACACGGATAGGGAAGGGGGGGAGGGAGGAAGGAGGGGAGTGCCTGGCACA